TCATCTTCTCACTTTGTTCCAAAATCCCCTTGACCCAATCCCATCTACTATCCCTAATACAATCATCTTCCATTGAAAGAACTTCTGATCACTTGATCTGAGTCAATGAAAGTGCTTTTCAGTTGCTAGCCATTTTTCATGATCAAAGTATCTCAATTCTTCAGTCCTTTCCCAGAAAGGGTTGAGTTGCTATCTTACACTCCCTTTGTAGCATGTGAACAGTGATTCTCAGAAGCAGGGGCTATCTGTGGAGTTCACCCAGTTCATTAGCAGGTGGTCATCATTTAAATTTAATGCACTGTTCCCGTTTTGTGTCAGAAGCCCAGGTTGTGAGGAAGGATTGAGGAGGTCGGGTACCTTTTGGCAAATACTTGGTGAATATGAGTCATCTTGAGTCCGATGAACTTTCCATATGTTATCTGTTTTCATAGTCACAGCTGGGTCTCAGGATGAGAAACAGCCCTCCATAAAAAGGGAACATTATGTCACTCCACTGCCTTCCTGGTGCTTGCAGGACAGACAAGTAGACTGACAACTCTATATGCTAGTTTTTTCTTTAAAGATTTATTTATTTATGCATCCAAGGACTGGGGTACAGGCTAGAGATGTGAGAGGAGGGGTGAGAGGATTCACCAGAGACCGAGTGGGTAGTAGACCAGGCAAATTGACTGAAATACACTGCTGAGGGGAGCAGCAGGCGGGTCAGGAGAAGTCTGCCACACCATGTGGGTCACCTCCCTGCCCGGGGATTGAACTTTTGCTGCAGCAGTGGCTTCAGATAGCTTCATCATGCTGTGCTTTAAGCCTGCTGTGTTTTAAGCCTTTGTGTCACCAGGGAGGGCCCTGTATGCTAGGGTTTTTTTTTTTTTTTTAAACATTTATGCATACAGAACTGGGGTACAGGCCAGAGGTGCAGGGGTGGTGAGAGGATTCACCAGAGAGAGTGGGGAGCAGAACAGGCTGATCGATGAAGTAAACTGCTTAGGGGAGCAGTGGGCAGGTCAGGAGAGGTCTGCCCTGCCATGTGGATCACCTCTGGGGTGGGGATCGAACTCATGCTGAAGTGGCTTTAGCTTCTTGGTGCTGCGCTTTAACCCACTGTGCCACCAGGGAAGGCCTTGTATGCTAGTTTTAAGAACACCTTTTCCCTCAGCCATTTTCTCCCAAGATGGTATACCAATGCACGTAGCCTTTTTCTCTCGGGACCCAGTTTAAACACCACCTCCCTTGGACACCTTTTGGGGCTTCATCAAAGTGGAGTCAGTCTCTCCTTCCTCAGGGCTTTGTGTTCGCCTGAGTTACACTATTTGTTACACAGCATAGTAATTGTGAATTTGAACCTGTCATCCCTGAGGTTGTAAGCTTTATTTGAGTGTCAGAGCTTTATTTTCAACACCTGGCTCTGGTCAGGTACACAGAAAATGTTAACTAAAATGAAATAATTGGTCGATTAGTTTATTGAACAATGAGGCACGGACCCAGTAAAGACAGCAATGGTGCTTTTAATGAAACCTCTTTCAAATATTGTGAATGGTAGCTGTGAAGTACATGCTTTTATTCTTTTCATAGGACAGGTTTGCAAACAATGATCACAGTGTTTTAGGTTAATAGATGCTGGACAGACGAGTAGCCAAAGAATTTTAACAAAATCCCATCAATTATAATATCAAATGCAAATAGTACACATCAAGAGAATGTTTATAGTACATGGCTAAAAAACATTACAGTAATCAAGTTAAAAAGAACTAGGGGAAAACACTATATAACAAAATGGTCTTTCATAAACTATTAAATGAGCATATGCTATAGACAAACCAATTTTATATGTGAAGCAGCTTATAGCACCAACATGTTGGCAGGGCGAGTAAGGGGAAGGCCATTGGACCAAGGCATCTGAGCACGGGGAGGGAGGCTCAACCATCATCTACTAAAAACCTCATTTTTCAGATGGTGAATTGGAGGCCCAGAGAGATGCATTGCCTTGTCCAAAGTCACATGATACAGCGACACAGGATTGACTAGAAAACGATCCTGGGCTAAAATCTAGGCCACTCAACTTCAGGTAAGTGTTCTATTTGAATATACTTATGTATTTCTATATAATTCAATGTAGTTTTCCTATTAACAGGTCTACCATAGAAGAAATAACCACAGTTCCAAAGAAACTGGGATATTTAATTTATCAAGAAAGGACATGCGCTGTAGTTCAGTTCTTAGGGGACCTAAGCAGACTTTAAATCAAAATTCAGAGGAATCAACTCAAATGACACTATCTTGGTTGAGGAGAAGGCAGCTAGAAAGTTTGGCACATACTCCATGATCTAACCTATGCCTAAAAATTACTAAATCATTGATATTTTTTCTTTCTGATCGCTTAAAGATTAGTAAAATACAAAACAGTCCAAACAGAGAAAGCAAATCAGATCTTTAAAAGATAAGTATGGCACTTCTGATTTTAATAAGGTAAGGAAATTTAAAAAGTAGCTACAACCTATGGCTTGTGAACTGCCTAGCATACAAAGTGTTTCCTCTATAAAAGACTCTAGAGTCATGAAGCTCTGTCTAGTAAATCGTGTCATGATCCTGAGGCCAATTGGACAGATTTATGATAAACTAATGAAGATAGAAGGATGAAAAAAGCAGCAGCTTTAAAGACAAAATGTATTGAACGTACTTAAATGGCTTCATAGATAGTAAGCCAAGAAATTGCTCTTATAAGTGATTGAATGTGGTTAATGTAGTAGGAAGGGGAAAAAAACATACTGGGCATTTGTCCACTATCATAAACCAGCTGCTGTAGAACAGTTTAACTGTGGCTTCATATGTAGAATAAAACCTGATAAATAAAAGTGACTTCTGCATATCATATGTATACATATATTATATTTTTTCACATAGACTTCTAGTTATAAGTAAATCAATAGTTAGCTACATTTCACCTCCCTGCCCCCCTTGGGTTCAGCATCAAAGAATTTGATTCCATTTTTCTTGAACATGCCCTACACCTGGATAGGAAATTACATAATATTTATATTCATAGCCTTTATGTCTGGCCAGTGAAAATAAAATGAAATCTCCTGGGACCTCAAGTCCATACCTTATCACTGCAAGCATATTAACAAATGTATAGCAAAACATTTTTTTATTAGGTAATAGAATGTTTTATTCTGAAAGCATAAACTATGCTTGCTACAAAAAATATGCATGCAACAGTATAATAAAATTTCATGAAAACATTTTGTAGCAGGCAGCATTATAAATATTAAAGAAACATGTTAAAAATCAGTGAAAGGAAAATTGATGTTTTGAAACTATCAGTAGAAAAATATACTTATAAAAATGTCTCATTCAGTGAAGCAATAACTGTAAAGTCTTTTGATTATGTCTCAAATTTTACCTTTTGAAAGGTAAAATCTGTCACTTAATAGTTGCCTATAATTTACTTGCAAATTGGGCATAATGCAGAATGGAGTGGTAGGTGATGAGAGGTTATATGGTGGAGTGATTTTCATATGATCTTGGAAGAGTGGAGGCAGTTTGCAAGACCCAGCAGATAGGTGAACAGTACTTTATTTGTTCACCATAATTAGCTTATTTTTCAAAATCCAGACATTAGATTTTGAAAAGGGCTTGTCTGCAGGGCACGACTGTAAACAACTAGGGCAAACTCTTGTAAATAATTCCTTCTTGGGACTAAATCCTCCTTTAAGAATAAATTTTTGATTAACTAAAAATTAAAATTTTAAAAGGTCTCCTGAAAACTAGACCCTGAAATAAGTGAGGAAAGGACTCTCTCTTCCTCTTTGATAAAGTTTCAATATCTTTCTGTCATAGGAGACTCTATTGGGGATCCCTGCTGGACACTGGAGGTAAGGGCTGCGTTTATGCCCTGAAGAGAATCAAGGAGGCCAGTACCAGTGGCTGAGACCCTTGGGCGCAGTGGTCTGGATTCCTCTCGTGGATACTCTGCAGACAAGGTAGGGATGACACTGCAGATATGTGGTCATACCTTTTGTTAACTGTTTTTCCCTATGGTGTTCCACCCAACTGAGGCTGGGGTGGTGAACATTACCTTTGAGCATAGATGTCTGGCAGCAGAGAAAAGATAAAGGGAAGACAGCGACAGATCTACGTCATGCAGTCAGACCAAAAGCAGCTGTTTTTCACACATTTTAGCTTTCTTGGGTGGGCTCTTGTGCACTATCTCACTCCAACCATTAGTGTGGAAATTTCTGAGGTATCTACCCCTAACCTAAAGAACATGAACGATAGGGTCCTTCCTGAGGGTCTCATCTTGATTCAGGAATAAGGAAGTCCAGAGGCCCTTTGTGAGTTAATACCTCATGTTACAAAGTGGCTTTTAGTTCAGACTTTACATTTTAATTGGCACAGTTTATTATAGCCTATGAAGACAGCGAGATTTCAAGAAGAGAGATGAATTCATTACTTGACTACAATGGCTATTACTAGATTATAAAAAATAGAACCTTTAGGATGTTCTTTCTTTGTTTGCACACTTAACTATGAAAAGAATTTTTTTATTTTACTTCCATACAGAGCTCACAATAAAGGTATTTAACTTCTGGAGTTGAGGATATGGTGGTATGGAAAGAGGGACATTTTTATAAGGAAATAAGCTTTGATGTGTGTATACAAAGACTATATATACACACTACACACCTTATGGGTGTAGACTACACAGGCTGGGATAATCCTATTAAGAACATATTATGATATAAAGGTTTTAGGACTAAAGTTACTCAATTTTTTTTTTTAAAGGCCTAGACCAACTTTCCTTAAGCAGTAACCCAATGAGACACCATAGTTTCCAAATGGAAAAGATTGTTATTAAATAAGTAAAAGGTAGAGAAACAGCAACTTGGGAAATAAAAGACTTCAGAGTCCATGATTCCAAGTTAAGAGCATTTTAGTTATTAGCAGTGGTTACCAAAGCTGAAGTAAATCTCTTCAAGGAGCTGGTCATCATTTGCTTTGAGAAAAGGCAAGGCAATGTTTTCACTTTCCTCTATAAAATGATGCAAGTTTTTTTATCCTTGAAAGGGTTTTCTGAAGTTGGTATCCCTATCAGCAGAGGGTCGCTCCTGGCATGCTCTTCGCAGTAGGACATGAGGTCTGCTGATGCCTTTGAAACCTGGTGTGTAGACAAACCAAATAAACAAGAGAGAAAAAAAAAAACTGTTCACAAACTTTAAAAGTATATTTGAACGCTAACCTATTGACTGGAAGAACAGGATAGCTGGTCTCAAAGTATCACCCCCAGACTACTTGTTAAAAAGGGAAAAGTTTCTTTAAATGGAGAAACTGGGCAGATATGACCTTCCTTAACCAAGCAATGTTATAATCGACATGTCAGAGTGAGTCCCAAAGACATACCACTAGCTAACTAGCATCCCTGCTGAAACATTTTTAGTCAGAATCTAATCATCAGCAAGCAATGACATCCAAAGTGAGGGCCATTTGGCAAAATGAGTGGCTTGGGTTCTTCAAATATGGACAGTGCTATATTAATATATTAAATAGCATTATATCAATATTATTTGATCCTGATTGTTATAATATATGTGGTTATATAGAGGAATGCTTTTTTATATTTTGGAGATAAGATGGTGAAGTACTTTGGGATGAAGAATCTACGAAGTTTGCAATATATAAGCAGTTGAAAGAAAAAATGTGTTGTACATGTGTAGAGAAAGCAAATGTGGCGAACTGAATCCTGGCAGAGTATGTGTGACATTGTTGCTAGAATCCTCTGGAGGCTTGCATTTGTTGGTAGGGGTTTGGAGGAAAGTGCATTCTGATTGGTAAGAACTGAATTATGGGCTTGGAGCCAAAATTCAGAATAAAGCCAGGTTCTACAAGAATTTCAAAATTTACAAGAGCAATAATCTTTTCAAAAACAGGACTTGGGGAAAGGAAATAAGGTAGAAAACCAGCAAGGGAAGATGTAGTGCCTTACTCTGGCATGAGTTAGAAATAGAAAAATGCTATGCCTGTTCACAAGTCTGGATGGGAGGCTCCTTGTCATAGTCAGGCCCATGTCCTTAGGTGAGGTGAGCTGTCCAAACAGCACAGGCAGTCTCGTGTTTTGCAGACTATTTCCAGGCCCAGAGGAATTTCTCAGGTGGCTGCTTCAGTTTCTAGGAAACAGCATTACTCACAACATTCCAGGGCACTCACTGCCTAGTCCTCTTGGGATTTGGGAATGGGGTGGGGGAGGGGAGGAAGAGTTCCAAGTCAGATGACCTCACCAATGCCTTCTGGTTTCTTCCAGACCTCAACTAATGTTGAGCATTACTCAAATTTGGTGCAAACTGTGGTCATTAGAACCTATACACGTTGAAAGTCACATTTTCCTAAAAAGGAGACCCCAGTTGTTGACATCCAGTGCAAGGCTACCTCAGCTGCACCGTAACTCTAGAACACTTCATAAATTCCACAGGGATGACGAGGATGTTTATGAAATCCACCTGGAACCCCTGTCCCAGTGGAGAACAGTGATAACAGCACTTGACTGTGTTCCCTCAGGGAAAGCAGGTCCTCAGGAAATCCTGTCCAGGGCCTGTAGGTTTTCTGTTTGGAGAGGCTAACTCATATACTGTGGCTCCCCAGTGCTTTAGAAATGAGGTGTGTGTTCAGTAAAAATGAAGTCAAGGTTCTGAAACTGAGGACAAATCCTTCACCCTATGCTGATTTAGCTAGCATCACCTTCTCTGAAATGTGACCTGGCCTTGCAGAGCAGTGGGAACTATCAGAAAGCAATCCAAACCAAGGCTTCTTACCTTTATTCTTTCAATAGAGGCTTCTAGTCTTAACTGTTGCACAGTTCTCCTTGCCTGGGCAATGTTGTTGGTGGTTGCTGTTTTGCTTGACATCTTCAGTTACTACTTCTACCTGAAATCTGAAGAGAATAGTGTTTTATTTTCCTTAAGATTTATTTTATTATGCACACAAGAGTTGGAGTCTAGGTCAGAGGTGTAGAGAGCAGGAGGATTCACCAGAGATCGAGTGGGAGCAGAACAGGCATATCTACTAAGGTACACTGCTGAGGGCAACAGTGGGTGAGACAGGACAGGTCTGCTGTACATGTGGGTTAGCATGGGGAGGGGGGAACTACAGCTGAAGCAGCTGGCAATAGCTCTGAGACTTAAGGGCCTCCTTGGTGATGCAGGGGTTAAGAGAACAGTTTTTAAAGGTGAGTAACAGTTATCTTTATTTAAATAACCATAATGCTTTGTGTTCTTTTGGGGTATAAGGTTGCCCTTTCCAGCCACCACTGCCTCTATAAGGCAGTTACAAAAATGCCCCTCCACAACAGTCTACTTTGTCTCAGCTTGTTCTTTGAGTACCTTTACAAATCCTTGGTTTGCAGAAAGGTAGTTCTAGTAGTTGAACCTATGCACCACAGCTGAAAAGTAGCCTTTTCTAGGATTTTTCTCAGAGGAAACTAACATAAAAAAAAATTTGCAACCTTGTACCCCAAAACATTTGCAGCGGTTATGGGCCTCCTGCAAACATGAACATGTGTAACCAGAGCCCATGTTACAAGTGCAGTTTAGTATTACTGCAGTGTACTCTAGGAGGTTTGCTTTTCTTTCATTTTGGCTCTCTTGCCCAACTATTACACGGATGCAAGTTCTGGCAATAGAAAAGAGTGCCTCTGGAGAACTTTGCATTTTTAGGTGGTATTAATGATTTGGAATCATTTGGAGAATGTTAGTTGGGCCGATAAGGAAGACTTTTGCAAACAAAAAGTGGGAAACTTTCAGCTGAAAGACTAAAGGATGGATCCACAGGTTAAAGCCCGAGAGATTTATGATTAAAACAACATAATCGGTCCCTCTCTTCAGGCTGTCCTTGGATTCTCGGCTGCCCTGTTCCTTTTTCCCAAGCCCCTAGTGAAAAGTAAAAGGAACTATCCTGGTCTTTGAGCTTTGACCTGTCTGGCTGCCCTGCCATGCGTGTTCTCTCTCAGCAAGGTGGGGACTATAGGAAATGTGGCGCTGGCAGGTCTCCCTGTGATGTGGCAGTTTTATGACTCAGAGGAGCAGGTGGACAGTAGGTATGTTTCCCCAGCACAATGCAAGGGTGCAGCCAACTCGGGGTGACTCAACCTCCTGGAGGGGCTGCAGCTGGATGGAGTATGGCTTCCACAGTCCCCCACACATTTACGCTCTCAAATGCAAGGACATAAGGAGAGCTTGTGCCCTGAGATCATGAGATGTCTTTGGGCCAAATGCACAAATAGAACAGCTTTTAAAAACAAACAAAAAAACTGCAGAACTTCGAAATCGAGCCCAATCAGTAAGCTCCACAGGCCTGGGTTCAGAGACAGGCTCTGCCATTTAGTGGGTGGGTGGAAACTGGCAGGTTATTTAGCCTCCATGAGACTGCCCAAGTTTTCTTAGTTGTAATAAAAGGATACTATTACCGCCTCTTAGGGTTGTTTTTAAGGAGTCAATCCGTTGATACACAAGTAGTATGAGCATTGAACCAAGGCATTCCATAAACAAGCAGCTGCTATTTTATCCTTGGGTCACACCCAGGAGGATGAATTGAATTCTCTGTCTACCTGTCTGTCTCCCCTGGTTAAGGAACTCAAGGGTTTTGATTGACTGGATCTGGGCATCAGGCCTAGGCAATTCTGCTGTAACCTGGTGTCAGGGCAGAAGGGAAAGGCTGCTGATTCTCAGATTCTTTCAGAAAAAAGGAAGGCCCAGCAGTACAGGAGACTGGCAGGAGGGCCATGTGGCAGGGCAGGGTGGCCTTGCCCTGTCTTAGGCCCTGGGACACTTCATTTCAACACAGTCCTTACCTAGCTGTTTCTTCCTTAGATTCCTCAGTCATCCCTGCCCCACCTAAAGGAGAGGCCCAGGTTTCCTCCCAGTGACTGTTTACACCCAGCCCCTTTCTGTACCACCCAGGCACGCACTTATTAACAGAACCTTAGAAATGGAACTGAGACAAGAGGCAGCTTCACTGTGAACAGTCTAGACTCAGTGGGCAGGTTCCCTATTTCGTTGCCTGAAGCAGATTAATCTTGGCTCCTCTGCTGGTTAGCAGTGGTTCAGAGGATTGGCCCCTAGGTTCCAGAAAGTGAACCTGACACACTTTTGGAGCTGCCTGAGGTTTCCAAGCTGTATCTTAATGACTCTAAATATCCCTTTGCATGAGAATAACTCCCAAGCATTCTCCTTTTTTTCAGCCTCCAGGATGGAAGTCTCCAGAAGCCTTAACAGGTTTTCCTGTAACTGCCCAACAGTTGACAGGATCAGGACTGCATCAGTCTTGGCTCTACCTGCTTACCATGAGCTGTAAGTTCACAGCCTCGATTTATAAAATGCTCAGGTAGGTCCCTCTAAAATTAGTGAGAAACTTGACTTCTAGTGCATGGAAAGCTTTCTCACCTCCTGACTGTACTGCAGTCATAATTAAAAGCAGCTAGCAATCTGTGTTCTGTCCTGCTCCTTCCCAGGGAATCTGTTCCCTTCACTTAAACAGCTTCCTGCTCCCTTCCACTGGCTCTTCTTCCAGTCAACCTCTCTCAGGTTCTCAACTCAACCACAGTTTTAAGTCCCTTGCCCCTCTGCTGACATATGGATTAGCCCACTAGGAAAAAGTAGATTAAAATTAAGGAGATGGGTGACTTCATAGCTCCAGACATTCATTAAAACACAACTGACCGTACAGGTACAGGCTGCAGAAGAGGAACAGTGTAGGAAAGTCAACCAAGTAGGAACTCATTCCTAGAAAGTCGTACACTGGCAAAGACTCTGGGCAGTGGTTATAACATTTCTTCTACCCAGGATGATTATTTTTGGTGAACTCAGAAAGAGGTATTCTTAATGGAAACCTGGTTGATCCTCAGTACAGTGGTGGTATTTAGCACCATTAAAATGAAACTGATTTTTTGAGGAAACATCTGAACACATTTAAAAAGGCATTGTTTTGTGGTGAAGTTTAGAAAATCAACATCAAATCAATTGTAAGTTAGTTTGAATGTAATACCCTAAGGACTTACTAAAGAAAATGCCACCAAACTTTTAAGTGATAATTGCCATGTCCTGGAAAGTCAATGTTGGCATAAACATGTCTCTTACAGTTCTTTTTAATCCAATCTTTCTCTTGCCTTTTTACTTTCTTTATTCAGTGATAAGCAGGGACTTCCGTGGTACATATTCTAAAGTATTTGAGTATTTATGTACATTTTTATCAGTTATTAAACTGAGCAATAAAGTCAGATAAAAATTATATTGTTTCCACTTAACAAGCTTGTTGGAAGCACTGAGCTTCCTCCTGTCTCTGCAAGGACACTGCTGCCTGACCACTGAGCAGTGGGAGGTATTTACAGGAGCAGAGGACTTCCTCTAACCTGCAGCTGCTTTGCATCTCAACAGCTGGTCTGGGGCACCATCAGACCAGGAGATTGGGAAACAAACATCTCTGCCTCCAAAGACTTTTCTTTGGTCCTCCTTCAGTGGCAGGGGTGTCTGCCTGTTTGTTTGTGCTACTAGGTGGATAAAAAGCTTGCTTTATTCTTACTCCAAGAATAGCTTCCAAGGCAAACACCACCTGACGTTTGTATGGAACTTTAGTGTACACACGTTGCTTTCAGATGCATTAGTCCATGAAGCCTTGCTGTAATCCTGAAAGGTATAGTGCTATTTCATCCTTGTCTTACAGATGAAGCAAGTGAATTTAGAAAAGCTTGTTCCAAATTAGCCCAGCTTGCAAGCCTTTTGACCCCAGAAGCCACACTTCTATTGCATGGACGAAAAGGTTCAATTCTAATGAACCTGATTTACAAGCACACAGGGTGTCATCACATAGTCCACAATGTAGGTCTTAAGCAAAGGTGAGCCTGACACTCAATGACCTGGAGTTGTGGGCTTGTGCAACACTCCCTCTGGTGCAAAAGGTACCTGTCTGTATAGTGCCCTGGAGAACAGACCTCGCCTCTTCTCTCTGCATGCTGAGCAAGAATGTTCCCATTGCTATTGGGAAGCAGCTGGAGATCCTGAGTGCTCTATTCAGTCCAAAAGGGCCAAGGCCTGTGCCAATCATGTCTGTATGTTGCTAACAGATTTGAATGAAAGTATGCACTATTTGGCTTTTCAAGTAATTTGCATTGGTTTGGTGTAGTTGTTCATTGGAATTCTCAGGTTCCTAGGGAACAAGTTGTGCCACTAAGGAAATCTGGGCATTTAAAGTTTTGCCAAAAGGGCCTGGAGCAGGGAGACAGTGAGGTGAAAACAGAAAGTATGTCACAGAGCACACTCTGGAAGGCAGGCACCAGGAAGCTCCCAGAACCACAAGTCACCATGGCCTGGACAGTAATTGAATCGGTGGCATGAAGCCAATGTTCATCAGCAAACACCCTTGTGGCTGTAGTAAAGAACAGATTTGAAAAACCAAACAAGAAAACCCAGGTTTCCATTCCACCTCGTTCCTGCCTTCAATTATCAGTGTCTTCCTCTAGCTTCTTGGCTGCACCCTCACCTACTAAAGGGGACAGCAAGACCTGTCTCACAGGGCTACTAGCAGAGCAGCAATCAGTAAAGCACCTTGCACATGCAAGTATTTGATCACTACAGGCTCATTACCAAGATGAAAACCACGTATTTGGTGGGAATGAGGAAAGACTCAGCAACAGAAGAATTTCAAGGTAATGTGACCAGATAACATCTTTCTAAATGGCCTTAGAGTCAGACCAAAGTCCTCAAATATTTTCCTGTTCTCATGAATACTTACTATTTTCTGTCAGTGCCTGCAAGCTGAATCTACACTGAGATTGGTTATTTTACTTGATAATGTAAATTATCAAGAAGTTTCTGGAAAAGTCAAAGTCTTATAAAATGGGACTGGATCCAAGTAGTGGGCATCTCTAACATCTGCGGGTGC